TTATCAAATTATTATTAGTTTATTTTTAGCAGTAGGATTTATTATTTTATTATAGTATAAATATCTATTTATAGCACATGTGACATATATTAGACAGCCCGAAAGGCCCAGAAAATCTACAAGACCCATGATCTATAAAATTATGACATTGTGACACATAAATCAGGCAGCCCAAACAGCCCAGGCAGTTCAGATAGCTTAGGATAGAAAACAGTATATAAATAGCTGCTGTCCATGTAATTTTTAGTCAGTTTCTGATAACTCACTCCTGTAACCGTTGGAATTTCTGACTCGATGTCTTAATAAAATATTATTATTTGATTAAATACATTTTGATTACAAAGATTTATTGGGAAATCTTTGCCATACCTTGAAATATTTATAAGAGATTATCTCTGGAACGACAGACTGTTTTATATAATCTCTAATTCCTTCTAAAAACTATCACTCGGATATGGATCAAACAGATTTTTGATCACACTACTCAATTATATAATTTTAAAAGATTTTAAAGATTTCAAACTTTTATACACAAACTAGAGTTCTAAACCAAGTACCAAAATGGTACTGACTTGGTATCAACTTATAATAAAGTTAATATATAGGTTGTGACTCATTATATTAAACTTATAGTAAATCCAGTACTAACTTGGTACCAAAATAATATCATTAAAATTCCTAATACAAACAAAAAAGATCAAATCATATCTTTTAAAAAACTTTTTAAAATAATCTTTAAAATACACAAAATTGAAAACAAATTACAGAAAAAAGAAACAGAAGAATCTTGATTATGGAAGTTAATCCAAATGCTTTTGTCATCTTATTATCTGAACCTCAGATCATATCTTATATCAGATAAAGGATTTACACAAAACACAACTCTTCTTACTATCTGTAACTAGTAAACCATTTAAGCTCTGCACTAAATTAGAATAACCCAGGCTAGGGCTCTAACCACCGAGGAGGGAACCATGTCAATCGGGATTAGTATAAAATGGATTACAGCCCAGTCTATATTTCCAAATGTGTGGATAGGTTTCGGCTTGCCCAATTATCACGTGAACCTTCCGGATGATTGCTGCGCCACTACACCTTATCGGGAAGGTCACAATCTCAACGCCTACTGGATCAGTGTGTGAAACAGCTTCGAATTAGGACGAACACTTAATTCCTCTATCTCATTTTTATACGGAAATCATTATATTATCAATTTTAATGGCGATATTAGAAGATTTATTAGTTCTTAAAAATTTTCCCAATTTCCGGTAAACGTTATTAACCAAAACCAAAGATTTTAAATTTGTACTAAAAAAACTTTTTATTTATAGTCTACTGAAAATTGATATTATTCTTAAAAAAATTCGCATAATTATGTTTATTTTAATTCTTAAACACCGTAGAGGTTTCGCGGCATAGGTAAATGTGGCACAGGTGTGAGTGCGATATAATGATACGTTATCCCATTGTCGCGAACGGCGAGGAAATTTAGGTGAGAATTTCTAGAATAGAATAGAATAGTAAAGAGATGTATAAATGTATGCGTGATTCGATAGCACGTAAAGAGTTAGTTAACATTTGCGTTCTAATAATAAATAAACCATTAAAGTCAAAATAAACTCTTACATTTTTTTACGTGTGCGCTAAATATTTGTAACTCGTCTACGCGACTAAGCGAAAGGACCGAACTTTCCTAAGGGAACTGGGTGCTAAAATAATTAATAGAAAAGTTTAAACAGGCCAAACTCGAGGGTAAAAAAAAGCTTTAGACTGTTTACCTTTAATCGTACATAACGCGAAGGACAGCTCCGAAATTGCGACTGATAGGCAACAAGGCAATCTCTCACATGACAACTATTTTCAACCACACTCTACAGTTCACCTCAATACCCAAACAATGGAAGCAAATCATTATTACCTTAATCCCAAAAAAGGTTGTCTGGAGTCACAAACTAGCTGATACCAGACCAATCTCGCT